TGTAGAATGTAGAGTATAGAATGTAGAATAATAGAATCTAGAACCTCCCGCTGTGAACCACTGTCAGGTCACGGAGGCTGTGAGTTCACTTCCGGGGGATGTTTACCGCAGAGGGCAGATCATCCTGCCGCTAACGAAGCTCCGGCTCCAGACTCCGCAGCAGCTGATCCCGCAGTGCGTGGCTGTTCTCCGGCTCATCAGTGACCCAGGAGCCGGTGGAGCCTCCGGTGCTGCGCGGAGAGAAACGTCCCGCCGGTGCTAACGAGCTAACTTCCGCTGAGCTCCGGTGTTCCTACGACGAGGTTAGCCGGCTAGCTTTAGCCTCGCTTCTGGTTCTAGGTGTGAGTACGAGGCGCTGTGCGGACGTGTTTGCAGACTGCAGCGGGTTCAGCCTCAGAGGAGCTGCCGAGCGGAGGTTGGTTGATCCTCGTGAGGTCGAGCAGGATCCGGTTACAGCGCTTCGTGTGATGCTAACGAGCTAGCTCATCGCAACGAGCAGCTAGCTAGTTAGCTCTAGGTGAACGCATCGTTAGTGATGCTCCCGCTCACCGGGTTGGTTATCGTGCTAACTCGTCGCTAACCAGTCAGGTTAAAGTTAACCAGGCTCGAGCGGTCAGTCACCAGAAGCAGCGCAGCGGCTGGAAAAGGCCGCGGGTCGGGATTCAGGTCTGAGGTCTGGTTCTGCCGAGGAACCGAACCCACCAGCACCTGTCACACGCGGGGTTTCTGATCGATGCTGATCGATGCTGATTGGTTCTGATTGATTCTAAATGATTCCGATTGATTCTGATTGATTCCGATTGTTTCTGATTGATTCCGACTGATTCTAATGGATTCTGATTGATTCTAATTGATGCTGATTGGTTCTGATTGGTTCAGAATGATTCTAATTGATTCTGAATGTTTCACATTATTTCTCATTGTTTCGCAGCATTTTTCAGTATCTGTCTGTGTCAGTGTTTGTCTGTGTTTCAGTGTTTCACTGTGTTTCTGTGTTTCTCAGTGTTTCCATGGTGGCTGAGTCAAAGTCTGAGTGTAGATGATCTGGATTATTAGTGAGCTCTGGTGTCCTGTGGACCTGATGGAGAAAATGATGTAGAACTGCTTTTTTATTGTTGTTTTCTAACCAGAGATAAATAAATGAGTTAAATCAGTAAAACTGGACTGTAGATACTTATTGGAGTCTCCATGTTAATCTGGTTTAAGGACAGTGTGTCCTGGTCTAAGAGGATCCACATTGATATAGATATAGGATATATATATAGGAGTGCACACCTCCACCCAACAAACTCCTCATGAAATCTAATTTCACTGGATTTACACTCACTCATTAAAACCACATATCTAAATATTCAGATTAAATAAAATGATTCTCTGGAAACAGAAGCAGCCTTCATGCTCATCCAGTCCACGTCTGACACGTGTGAGGAGGGAGCTGGTTAACGTCTGATCTTCACAGGAACTGAGCTTTGTGAAAGGTAGAAATGGTTGACGGAGATTTGAAAGACATTTGTTACAGACTGGTCTTTTGTTGTGTCTGACAATGAGTCTGGTTGTTTATTGTCTCTGTTTAACTCGTCCAGGTTTGACACGTGTGGTGCAGATCACACTGTGAAATTTCATTTTCTTTTCTTTTTCATGAATTGATGTGTAACAGGGATTTGAATGCTGTGAATCCAGATTTAGACGGGTCCAATTTTAGGAGCTGTTGGTTTTGTTTGGAGGAAAAAACAATGAAATTGTCCCTTTTTCTTATTTAGTTAAACTCTATAAGGAAAACACACGTCTATCAACACTTCTGTAAAGGGGCATGTGTTTGCCAGCTGACTCGTTTTCAGATCTTTATTCAGAAGATTTTGAGACGAAGACAAAAACAACAAACGCTCCATAAAAGACAAATTAGAATGCGTGGCACGAGACGGAAGCGGAACACAACATAACCACAAGATTTAGTAATGACTTAATGACATTAATCAGTAGCTCCAGTTCTTCATTCAGAAAATATTTTTTCTACAGACTTCATCTTCATTGTTTCTGGATCCTTGATTTAAACTCTCTCTTCTCCTCGGCCTCTTCTCTCTGCAGCTGGCGGCTCTTCATCCCTTCCTGCCCAACATCCTGCTCAGGGGCTTCTCACACTCGATCCTCGTAGCTCTGTCAGTCTGCACGACATCTGCGTCCAAACGGCCTGAAGCCTTTCACCAGAGGCCGCAAGTAGCCAAAGCCGATGGTAAGCACAGCAGCGGGATCTTAGAGCCACGAATTCTGGAGAGTCGCTGCACGTCCTTCCAGCATCGAGCCGATAAGTATTCTGCAGGAGGTCCTGGACGCGGAGCCTCAAAGCTAGCGATGCCGGGATCCACGCCGGCCAGCAGCAAGGCTCGGGTGTACACCGATGTCAACACACAGAAGAACAGAGAGTACTGGGACTATGACGCACATGTGCCAAACTGGAGGTACAGTTCATTTAGTTCACACGGGGAAGTATTTCAACGAAGAGACTGTGAGATGAAATGTTTAAGATAAATATCAGGTCACAACAAGAAAGTGCAAATCTCTGCAAGTCAGAGCTGCATCGAGAGTTTTACACAGTGAAAACAATGACATCACAAATCACACGTTTAAATATAATCCAAACTAGTTTCATCATTAAAACACTGATCTTGTGTAATTTCTGCTCTTTCTCTCCAGCAACCAAGACAATTATCAGCTGGTTCGTAAACTGGGTCGAGGGAAGTACAGTGAAGTGTTCGAGGCCATAAATGTGACCAACAATGAGAAGGTGGTGGTGAAAATCCTCAAGGTGAGTCCTGTGCACGCTTTCTGGTGAAGACGTGTTTCGAGGATGAGGAGCTTTTTTATTCTCAATTCTAACAAACATTCGAATGTGGTTTATGAAATGACTTGTTGGAATTTAAAATGTGGAATCTTGAGCTTAGTCTATGTTCACGGTTTCCTGTTGACTGATTCATCTTAACGACCCGTCACCAAAGAGCGGAGTGGAGGCATTCTGCAGAACACGATGGTGAGACTCCCTCGATCGCTCTGTGGAAGCAGAGCGGTGCACAGGTCTGAAGTGGTTCTTCTGGTCGCAACAAGTTCGTTTGAAAACGTATTTGTTCCTCAGTGACGACACGAGCACAAGAATGAAATGTCAACGTGGTGCAAACAGCGACCAATCTGTGTCTGCAGCTTGAAGCTGCATCAGACCAGCTTCAGTAATTTGCCTGGTGATGTCGCAGAGGGAGCTCAGCTCACTATCAGCTCAACAGTGCAGTGAATCACAGAGCTAAAGAACATTGTTAAACCCTGTAGCTCCTGAATGTGGATCATTATTTCAAACACTGTTTTGTCCCCAGCCCGTCAAGAAGAAGAAAATCAAAAGGGAAATCAAAATTCTTGAAAACCTGCGCGGAGGAACCAACATCATCCGTCTGGTGGACACAGTCAAAGACCCCGTGGTGAGTTAGAGGAACGTGAGGCTGCACGTTGGCATGTCAGCAGCGATAATCCAGTCATGCTTGTAACTGTGTGTCTGAGCGTGTGCGTAATGATCTCCACCGTCCTGCTGTTGTCCTCAGTTAAGTCTGTTGTCCTCTCTTTGCAGTCCAGAACACCAGCGCTTGTCTTTGAGTGCATCAATAACACAGATTTTAAGGTACTTTCTGTTTGGCCGACATCACACATGCAGGACTAGCAGCAGAGTCCCCTCCCATGCAAACGCATTGATATCCATTATTAACCCTCCAGTTACTGTTGTGATGAGCAGAAAGCTGCTGAGCTCATGTGACTCATGATTTCAACGTGAACGTCTTCTCTGTTCGACAGGAGCTTTACCAGAAGCTGACGGACTATGACATCAGATTCTACATGTATGAGCTGCTCAAGGTAAAACATCAAGCGGACATGAGTTTACATCAACTGTGACAGAACTTCTGAGGATGGAATTATCTCTGATCGTAAAAATGATCAGCAGCAACTTTAATAATCGTGATTCATCAAACTAAACAAACGAGGGAGAAGAGACTCAGTCGATTCTAGAAATGATGATTTATCTGTTATTTTCTTATTGTCTTCAAACTGTTCGTCAGTTTAATGTTGAATAAGACAAAACCAAATGTTATAATGAAGAAAGTCCCTGATTATTAACAAACTGACCCAGAGTCTGTGAGCTGTGCTTGTACCAACTGAAAAAAGTTTTACGTGTGTTGTGATCCGTCGCCAGGTTTTTGTTTAATAAAGAACAGAACACGTCTGTGTTTCCCTGCAGGCTCTGGACTACTGTCACAGTATGGGGATCATGCACAGAGACGTGAAGCCTCATAACGTGATGATCGACCACCAGCTGAGAAAGGTTCCATCGTTCCACTGTTTACGTTCTGTGTTCTGTCGTCACGACTCTGTCAACACTGAGGGACCAGATTTAACTTGAATATTAATAGAAGCATTTTAGTTTATTTTACTTAAAATAATAATTTCTCATTTTAGAGTGTTTATTGTTGAGAGCTGGACACAAACGGTCAGGCTAGCTGTTCCCCTTCACTTGCAGTCTTTATGCTAAGCTATCGTGTGCAGTGATCATTGAAGCAGAAGATCATGGAGTAGTTTGCTTCATCTCTGCGTGAAGATACTTTAACCATTGATAAACTCTTGATTCATGTTAGTTACATGCAGAATGTCTTGTGTCCGTCCAGGGAGACGGATCCTCACATGTGACTCTCTGTGGTTTCCTGTTGATACAGATCGTTCGGTAGTTTTACTCTTGATGAGGGTTGAGAACAGAAGACGTGACACCTCGTTAACATCTGTGTTCTTCTCTCTGTTGCAGCTCCGTCTCATAGATTGGGGTTTGGCAGAATTTTACCATCCCGCTCAGGAATACAATGTCAGGGTGGCGTCTCGCTATTTCAAAGGCCCTGAGCTGCTAGTGGACTATCAGGTACCCACTGAGACAGTGATTCCCTCTGAAGACACCAGTCGCTCGTCGTCTGCTTTGACACCTGCTTCATGTTTTTCTCTCTCCAGATGTATGACTACAGTCTGGACATGTGGAGTCTAGGCTGCATGTTGGCCAGCATGATCTTCCTGAAGGAGCCATTTTTTCATGGCCAGGACAACTACGATCAGGTAACGCATCATAAACCGTCGCTTCTTCAGAAGTTGCATCCAAACACAAATACAAATTAAATCCACTTTCCAGGTTGGATCCTGCGTCTCCGTGTCGACTCTTCGTTTCTCTCTCGTTAGAAAATAACAGTCTCCGTCCTTCTCTTCTCAACACTTCACACTTTGAGTCGTCAGGGACGTTGACTCATTCTGTGTCCAATCAGAAATCTTTCTGGAGTTTTAAACATCTGATCTGATGGTTAGCGACACCTCGACAAAGAGCAAGCTGTCGTCATGACGTTCAATTCTCAGCTGCTGGGTCCCGTGGACTCTGCCACAGGGGGGCGCTGACGCACATTCAGAGCTTTTAGCTGCTGTAAATAGGAATTAGTATCCACAACATAAAGAACTGAATGAGGTGGCGCTCTGACATCAGTAGTAGAATGAAGCCTCAGCTTGTAATTCATGAACTGAATCTGCATCTTGTTTTCCAGCTGGTCCGCATCGCTAAGGTTCTCGGCACCGACGAGCTCTTTGGTTACCTGCACAAGTATCACATAGAACTGGACACTCGCTTCAAAGACCTGCTGGGACAGTGAGTATGAGCGGAGGACGGACACCCGGAGCAGCGTCTCCGAGCTGCTGCTGATTCAGTCACAACGTGTCCAGGAGCTTGTTACTAAATGATTCAGGACGATAATGAAGCAGGTTTAGTTACAGACGAAACATTTTCATCTGAAGAAAACTGACGATGGAAACATTAATTAA